CGCAATACGCCAGCCAAAACATTTTAAAAAAAGGTAAGCTGTATGCTATCCGGAAAGATTAAGTGCGCATACAGCAGAACTGACAGCCAAAAACTAAAGATATACAGCTTTTCAAGAAAAAACAAGATCTAGGGCAGCCAAATGTCTGGCTGATAGAAGATTATCCGAGTGAAACCAGCATTTTTTTTTTACATTAAATCAGCATTTCGAATAATCTCAAGGAAATCATGGATTTTAAAAATTTCCGACCTTTCATGACCTTGAAAAAAAAATTTTTTTAAATGGCTCACAAAAAAAATGCAGAAAAAAACACTGCAAACCTGAAATGCCGATACTCGCGCATTCAAATTTTTGTTCTGCATTATATTCAAAATGGCTGGCCAATTCTGATGAATCATTGGCAAATGATCATCCGGGAAATTGCGCAAATCTGCCAAAGCTACATCCACAATATTGAGTGCCACTAATAGTACAGGGATATGTGGTGAAAAAAGCAAATGCTTTGTTCTGAAGAAAGCAAAAAACAAAATTTAGGCGTGAATGAAACAAAAATGTGTTTTCATTGGAAAAAAACTAAATTAGACTACCCCTCCAACTGCTTTAGAAGCGACGCACATACATCGAATAGGCAGCTCTAAACCAAATGGCCAGGAGAAACTCACTTGACCCATAAATCTCCGTTAAAAGCATTAAAATCACATATCTATACTAACTGTCCAAGCGTTCCTGTGGTCCTGGCGATCAAAATATGCCAAAATATCACAAATCCACAGTATTTTATTTTTTGTAGGAAAATAAAATATTCGGAAATTGGCGAAATGACAATACTTTGTAGGCAACAACTATTTACTGAGAGTACATTTTGAAGTTTATTTTAGAATCTAACTGTGCGTAGCCCCTGAAATATGCCAATATCAAAGTACCATCGAGACAAATGAACGAATCGTAGAGAAACTGATTTTTTTTTTGTAGTGAAGTTGAATTTCTGGCGTTCCTTGTTAGGTTTTTGAATTTTGAGGAATTTTTTTTCAGGAATAAATTCCTTAATTTAGTTTAATACTTGATTTAATAAAATAAAATAAATTTAACAGATTTAATCCAAAAAAATAAAAAGAATCTAAAATTCTCAGAAATTTGAATAGCATACCGTTTTAGGATGTGATTAAGAACTTCAACAAATGCTGGTTTTGGTGGTTTCTTGTCGGGTTCGTTTTCATCAAATTCGATTTCTTCAGGCACTACATCATGGTACCATTTGCCAACTGCTGTTACGAAGCTCAGCAAAGCTCTAAGTGTCAAAATTAGCCATTCCTAAACAGTTGTCCATAAGTAAAACATAAATTCTAGAACCTAAATTTCACTGAAACTGACTTTGACCAGCAACTCCGATTAACTGTAACCAGTCAAAATATCACATGGAATCTGCTGGCAAACTTTCCATAATATTACTGTTTAGGACAGGTGCCAATTGGTACTAGAAGCCCCGAATTTTGATATTTTTTCCTCTTTTCGTAAGAAATAAGATATATAAAATCGAAATTCAAACCACTGCTTGAGTCCCCCGATACAAAACCGAAGTTCAAAAACCAACTTGAGTTCCTCGGTCTACTGCCTGTAGCAGTTCCTCAACAGCATCCCGTGTGATTGCAAACATCTGCTTGCTATTACAGTGATCCAGTACTGATGACAATACGCAGGGGGTACGATGATGATGATTGTTATGCAATCGCAAACAAACTGTCATTTTCGACAACAAAAATTCACCGTATTTGATGCACAATGACGAAACATCAGTTTCTCCAGAAGCCTGAAAAAAAAAATGTTTAATAAATCGTAAAATAAATTTCCTTGTGGAAAGATAAGCATTGTTTCACAAAAGATTTTTAAACAAATCGTTCAAAAAAAAATTTTTTTTTTTTTTGGAAACCGTAAAGACTGTTTCGTTAAGCGTTATTCCTCCCGCAGTGATTTAGGATCTATGTATGCAGTTTTGAAATGAAAAATCGATGCTTTTTATATATTCACATCGATAATCTTCAGAAATCGACAAATATGTGCTATTGGTACTTCAGCTCTGCCAGTTTCTTCACACAAATTAATCTCAAACAGCCAATTTTTCTCCTCATTTTTTTCACCGCTT